CTTTTTTTTTTAATTTTACAGAAAAGGTGTAGGATGTAGAAGTACAGACATTCAAAACTATGGAATGGATGCTGAGATGGTGTGTAGGTGGCATGGAGGCAGTATTAGCTCATGCTTAATAGGTGTCAAGGGAATCTGTAAAGCTGTTCTTTAGTTTAAAAAAAGGCAATTTGTGGGAGTGCTGTGTGTTTCTGGCAGTACTTTCAAAATAGCTACCTACAAAAGACAGAGAACTATAGTCTAATGATATTTTACACAATGACACACATTTTCACAGAGCATTAATGAAATTTAGAAAAAAGCCTTAATACTATTGTAAAATGTGTCTTCTTGCAGTGTACACGTCTACAAAGATATTATAATGACAAATACAGGGCACTGATTTTTAAGGACTGAAATTTTATTTTTAAAGGTTTACTTTCTCTGCTTTGCTTCATACATTTTAAAAGTCCTTCTTTGTCTCTGCAAACTAGTGACATTGTACTGTGGTACATACTGAATAAACCTACATTTTAGCATAGTTTATTTATGGTCTTAGTATAAAGTATGAGAGTAGTCTGCTATTCAAGCAAGTGACATCAAGCATTTATGTATGTGCTTGTCAGGAGCTGGACTTTAGGGAGAAAAACTCATTCAGGTCTCTGGGAAAGGTCAGAATAATGGTCACTCCTTTTCCCTAAACTGTACAAACCTCACAGCTCTTCACACTTGTGAGGCAACATGAAGAACTGCCTAATAGGAAAGGAAGTGATCAGGCAATATAGGATGCATGTAAGAAACAATCAGTAGGGGAAACCCTACCCCAGTTTTATCTCATGGGATCTTGGTATTTATCAGACCAATCATTCTAGTTTTCAGAATTCCAGAAACAGACACAGCACCAAAATGTGGTGGTATATCCTCCTCCCCACCTCCTCCCCAGGCCTGCTCTAAGATCTCAATCCTAACCTGAGCCAAACGACTCATTCACAACACAGAAAAAAACAATAGGAAAGAAAAATTTCTCATGAATGAGAAATACAGGCAACAGGTGACAGGGAGAGCAATGGCACAGAGAGGAAGCCCTAAGGCAGGAGAGTGGAAAACTAATCATAGACAAATAAGGGATAAAGACTGCGACTAAATATGAAGCAAAGTATCTAGAAAAGTGTTAAAAGGCAGGAGAGGTGGAAGGGAAAGAGGAAGAGGAAGACATGGAATCCAGATCTGAGATGCAAAAATATCATAAAGAAAATTAAGTTAGCAAGACTAGAAATCCTAAGTAAAACCTGAAAGATGGATGGAGAGAGGGAGGAATATATTCTAGAGGGAAAATATATATTTTTCATAGAAATATGAACTAAAAATAGAGCTTTGTGTTGAAAGAGTGAGAGCTTCTGAGCATCCTGAGATCAGAGTCAACCATCCGTCCTATTTTCTGGCTGAAGGGAAGCAAGGATTTGTCTAGTGGGACACAAAGTCACCAAGAAAGCTTGTGGGCAGTGCCTGGCCCAAACCAGTCTTTTGGTAGCACTGGTGAGATCAAAAGTCACTCTCTGGTGGTTTTTGCAACTAGCAAATTATTTCCAATAT